AATAAGGACAACAAGTGCGGTAAACGGCATTTGACTCACGAGTTTTTAATAAAAGAGTGAGTTAAAAAGTTTACTGAACGTGTTGCATACTATACTTTTTCTACGACCGTTAGTTTTGCTTAGCAAATACATATGGTATACAAATACATTCACTGACATGACCGTTACAATTGACAAACGTCAAAATTCAAAATCCCGGGAATGTCCGAAGTGGCTCGGAATCACTGACGTGGTAAAGTGACGCTTCTCCCACGCTAGATCGGTGTGTAATTAGTTATTTTGCAGACGGCAGTAGACAAAAGTTTATAATGAATTCCATAGATATATTTGTACAGTTCAAATGTCACAAGTTCGCTAGTGTGTATTAATAGTATATTATGCAACAAGTGCGGTAAACGACATTTGAGTTTATTTGGTACGAGCGGAGCGAGTGTTTAATAAACTGTACTATACTTTTCCGCTGCGCTTCGCGCGTGTCAAATAAACTCGTTAGTCAAATGCCGTTTATCGCACCTGTTGCATAATATACTATTATTGAATACCAAAAAAAGACAAAAATTTAATACTATTTTTGATAGGCACTATTTACCATTTCAATATTACACTTTTATTTATTTCGTAAATTTTAGATTAGAATTAGATAAGAATAATATTATTATTTAGACGTAGAAAATAAAAATCGTTTCTATTCTATCTTATGTGCTTTCGACATCTCACTATTTTTTTCTTTTTTGTTTAGGTTAATATCGAGTAGCTTTTAAGCTGGACTTCGACTTTTGAGTAGTTAGGTAGTTATTATATATTTTTTTAGTTGTATTGTAATGTATATTTCATTTATAAATAAGAACTAGTAGTACTATTATTATTATTATTAGGGCGCCACAAATTTGCTATTTAAAAGCAGAGTACAAAACGCGAATGAAATATCTAAGGAGGTTTGAAAAGGTATTTAAAAAAATCCCTGTATAAAGTGTGTTTTTTTCATCCTTTAATTTTCAAAATCTCTTCAATTAATAGTATGTCCAACTGTCAACGCCGGTCATATCGTTTGAGACCGTCCAACAAGAACTTGACGTATTTCGCTGACCTTCCCGAAGAACAAACCTAGTTTATTTAGAACGTGCTCCTAAAGTTTAATTAAATTCAGCTGGCACACTTTGAAATATGTAATTGGAACCCGCGCCCGCGGCAAACTAACGCAACGTTCCATTAAATTCTAACGAGATGAAAAAATCGTCTCAACCTGTCGTCAATAATAGAAGGTTGACGCATATTTTTCCACACGTTTTGTTGTGTGCGCATATACGGAAGTTCGTGTATATTGCCGACTTTATTTACTATACTGACCAGCAAGTATTTAATTAGTTTTTGTTATCCTTGTGCATATGCTCTCTCCCCAACAGAATACCAGAAACTAACCAAATTCTTGTCGCCAGAGCAAACAGAGCCGGCAACTTTGGATTGCGGTCAAACATGTAACGCCTTCTGCTATGTATCGGGCACTATCTGAAAAAGCAAATGTGGAAAAATTTATGACTAGAGAGGCCAAGAGAAAATGCTGGAAATTACTTTTAAGTTTCTGAAATAGTCGCCAGGGGGCGCGGTCGAATTCTTCAATTTGAAATCCTCTTTCGTTATGCGGTTTCTCTCTATCTCTTTTGGCAAAGTGGGGCGTGTCCGAACATTTTCGGAAATAAATATCGATAACTTGGAGTTGTTATTTTAGTTGCTCTTCTAAGGTTATCTATCAACGCAACCCCATTTCGTTTTCGTTCTTGACTCAATGGCCCACGATTGGCAACGATGTTCGAGTAGTAAGAAGAATTATGTAAACTATTTTAACCTAACCTTATTTTTATAATTGTGTGTCCTACGCAAATTTTGAGGCTTTTTATGTGATGAGACTTGAAAGGTATGTATTACGATAGACTATTTTCTCTGTATAGTTCTTTTACATATAAAAGCTGTGGTGCAGGGTCGGAGTGCGGAAACGAAAGAATAAAACGGGTATAAATTTAATAAAATGCCTACTCTTATACGCTATACCAGGTGTGCGAAAATGATAAGGCGAAATATCTCGAGAATTACACAATTTAACAAAAAACAAACAAAAAATGCGTTACAAAAATGTAAAAAACAACAACTCACAACGTAAAAAATTAAGACTAAATTTTTAAGAATAACCAGTTTGGCCCGGCCCATACTAACTAGTAATAGTAATATTAGCGTGATCTTCCAATAACTTCTCTCTGGGGTTGAAACTGTGTACAAATGTAGACGAAAAATTTTGCAAATTGTAACCGTCGATATTGTCGGCAAAAATTGGGAAAAGATCATAATATCAGAATGTAATTGCACGAGTAATTACCCTCGGTAAAGGCTGAGGGCAAACAGTTTTGTTTAATTGCGAGTTAAGCGATTATTAAACATTAATTATTTGTCAACCATTTTAATTGTGTCTAGTGTCGCAAATTACCGGCTCACCGGACAATTTTATTAATAATTAATTGCTCGAATTTGTTAAAGCAAAATAGATCGGCGAGTTGCAATTTTGAAAACCGCCATTTGAGAACATTTTCTCTTTTAAGCATAACCAGTGCTTTTAAAATAACCAGTTAACCAAATTTGGGACAGTTCATATGGTGCATTTTACAGCTTCCGAATATGATGGTTTTTTTTGTGTAGTGTTTGCTTAAACGTTGTAAATCGTTTTGCATATTTGTGGATGCAGAACTTTAATTTTGTTGTATTTCGTATTTTCTTCGTCGATTATTTTAAAAGGAGATAGATGTATGGTAAGGTTTATTAAAAACCAGAGTCAATTAATGCAGAAGCTATAACAAAAAACCAAACCAACGGTACCTTTGTAAATGAATTATAAACTATAGCTTCTCCTTCACAGACCTCATCCAAATAGTATTATTTTAGATGGCTAAAAACGTCACTTTGCGCGCTAAGTGGGCGCCGCTAACACTAGAGTTATGGTATCGAGTTAATCAGGAAATTGAAGTTGTAAGAAAAGATTTCAGAGCAAGTCTTATTTTATAAAAGGAACGATGTTTTTGTCCAGGACCGGATGACGTCACGGCACCCCTATTTTAATAAAAATGGACTCTTAACGGACTCCAAATTGTTACATCCGGATCCACCCAAGTAATAATTGGCGGTCATGTCGGAGCCCCGCCCCTCAAAAATCAACCAAACAATACCATTACGCGTATCGCGACAGCCTTGACTGAATTATTATAATCGGATTTGGAGCAGTCCGGCCAAGAATAATGGTAGAAAATAAGCGGTCGCATTTTTGACACGTCTTCCGTTTCCGCGTTGCAATTACCACGAAAGGCATTCATTTTATAGTCGCTGCAAGCAGGGTCGCTATTCTTAACATTCAGAGTTGCAAAAATTGTTGAAATATGTTCGAGTTGGACATTAAACAATATACCGATTTGTGCGCGGTGATAAACCCGGAGTAACGAAATTGTAATGAAGATGAAAAACAGTCATTTTACTTAAAAAAAGAAATACCTAAATAACGAAAATTGATAAAATTCATCCCATCCGTGGGTATTTTGAAAGAAGCCAATTTTCGTATTGCATTTAACCTTTAAGTTGTCCACCCTGTTGAATGATCCCCGATATTGCAAATTTACACCGTATTATTCTCTCGTGATATGAAACATAGTATAGCCAATAGTCGCAATAATAACCGTGATATTATCAATGCGGATTATGAGAAGAAATGTGCTTATTCTAACAGAAAAACTCCGATGTAATTTTATTAAGAAGGATAGATCCGTTGAATATCAAGATCACTCAAGACCAACGTTCACTGCTGGAAAATTGAGCAACACAGCCTTTCATTTCTATTCATCGATTTAATCAATTGGCTTAAACATCAATACCTTGCACAAGTTTGTAGACTCCGCCTCAATATTCGAGGCATAAATTCAAGTACTCACCGGAAATTGCAGGCAGGCATGTTTGATGTTCCGAGGAGTGCTTACTTCCTCCGATTTTGACCTTAACCGAAAGACTAAGATTCGTAATATGTAGTCGGCTGGAAACTTCTATCCTTAAGAACAACGAGAACTGTTTGAACTAATTAAGAAGAGGAGAACAGCATGCCAGGACCATACTTTAAGAATTCAAAAATATCAGTTCCTACATCTGCTGATCGAGGACAGATCGAAAGCAGCAGAAAGATAGGAAGGAAGAAAATGTATTGACTGCGAAACATCAGGCAGTGGACTGAGCTACACGGTATGCAGTCGTTAAAACACTCCGCAAGTAACAGAGATGCAATGGAAAATGTTATCGGAAACATCCATTAGTCAATATGCGTTGGAAGAAGAAGAAGGTTTTTTTATAAATTTTACGGGAATAGAAATCCTAAAAATTCCAACTAACATAACCTCAAAAACATTTTTACAAAATTTTTGTATAGGCCGAAAAAGTTAAACAAAATTAGTGGAGCGCGACTCTGAAAATGCTAAAATCAACCGAATTGTTGGGCTAGAACTGGACTTTTTAAAGCATTTAACATATTTAGGCTATCCAACGTTAAAAAATTTACTCAATTTGCACCCCACTGCGGGAGAATACAACGATTTTTCAATAAAGATTTAAAAATTATTTGAACTTTGAACTTTCGTGGTGATTATATTATATTAGACAATTTTAAACTATTTTTTTTTTATTTTTTTTTAGTATATTTTGCATTTTGTAACTCGTGATGAATTATTGCTAATTATTAATTCTTGTAATTGTTTTGTAACTTATGAACCCTTAGTTAAGCCCTTCGCCGAGCTAAAAAGAACGACGTTTATATACAAAACGGATATGATATGACTGCCAAATGTCGAAATTTTGAAATGATTTCCACTCGATCCGAAGCCGAAAAAATTGGACACCGTCGTAATTTAAATCAACAAGAGATTTTTAAAAACCACACGAGTCTCATCCGCATACACATGTTTCAATTCGCCCCTCAAACTTACCCTCGCGGACTTGTTGAATCTCCTGCTCCCCGACCTCTTCAGCGTGCCACCCCTGATGTTCGAGTCGTCCAATTCTATCTCGTCTCCATCGTGGGTTGATCGACGACTCAGCTCGCACAGTTCCGCCACTGGCTGCACCTGGGGATAAAAATTCGTCACGTCACCCCAAAAGTGAAATTTTGTAATTTTTATAATTTTTGACAGTTGTTGGGATGGAATAAGTGTACAGGGCGTCCAATGTTACACAAATTAAGGGAGGCGCTGTTGTTGCAATAATACAACTACTTAAAAACAGACTTAAAAAATAAATAAATAGAATTTTTTGTTTGTTTTGTATGTAATGCACAAAATGCAATAGTGTCGAATGGACTAAGCGGTGCCCCATCTAATTTGAAAGTAAAGCAAATGCATATAGGCAATTAAAGAAATGGTGTGAAGTACTTTATGGGCAATATATTCTTCATTGAGCTCAGCTGAAAGTTAAAGAAAACGTGGAGTCAGGTGATCAAAAAGTTCCTGGATTTTATGCAGAAAATTAAACATACAAGTTTATTCGTCTAAATCTATATTGTCACCTGCAAAGTAATCCCCATTCACTGCAACACACTTAGACCAATCCTGGAAACATTTTTTACATACCATACGGTATGTCCATCAGTGTTTCCCGCGATTTTTCCATTACTACTTCTCGGTTGCTGAAACGCGTTCCTCGTAGTGATTTTTTAACTCGATTGACCAGAAAGAAGTGACAGGGACCCAAATCAGGTGGCTGTTGGATGGTATTTGTTGCAATTTTTGTCAAAAAAATACGATACCATTCTATTAAACACCAAATTAATAAGACTCGAAGAACTGACTTTAAAAGCTGATGTCAAACAACTGTCAAAAAACCGCCTTGACAACAGAATTAATAATTCTTACGTATATAATTCTTATTTTAAGATAAATAAGTTTCGTACCATCAATATAGACAGGTGAAATTCCGTACGCCCGCCACTAGCGTATTTAAAAAAAAAAAAGTTGTACTCTTAATAATGCCTCTTGCTACAGTACATGTATGCCAAATTTCGTCTAAAGTAGTATTACAGATTTTAAAAAAATATATTTTATTTTTGAAAACTTTACCCACCTACACCTTAAAAGTTAAGTCGTTTAGCCATATGTTCATATGAAGTTTTATTTTTAAAGTGGACCCCAAAAATCACCCACTTAATTATTGACATTCAGTTAGAAAACACCCTGTATAATGAGTCATTACCCTTCTTCCCCCACCCAGCGATAAAATCACCCACAAGATTAATCGCTTATATAAATCCTAGCCGCTAAGTGCACCTTCCAAACCATTACCAGAAATATTCGGAAAGGTCGGGAACCCAGACGCCGCAATCGACCCGACATTGTTGCCGCATCTTCGAGTGCCATCGTGCCGAACGATGCAAGAAACAAAATGTATCCGGACTTACTAAACTTTTTAAATGCATTGGACATCTTTTCTAGAAAAAACTCAACTACGGTTGGAATTAGATTTGCCTCTTTCGATATGCCCGCATTTCTTTTCATTTGTTATTTATACCATTTCTGAGAACTTTGAGGGATATCCTTAAAAACAACAAAATTTCCCTCTGTTATTTTAAGTCTTCTCATTTGATCAAGTAACTAAATGCTTGTATCTATTGCGTAGAACCTAGTGCCACACTTATAATAAATCTACGAGGTCAGTTCAAAAATTTATCGATCCCAACGGTATGTTTTCCATTAAAAAGTGTTAGATTTTTTGAAAAGACCTCGTATATTTCCGAGTGTGGCACTTAATTTTAAGCGAAAAGTTAAATTATAGGAAACGAAAAATTATTAAATACTGAAAAAGCGCAACATTTGAAGAAATCGAGCTGGCCGCAGTCTTCAGGTAAAATTGGACACCCTGTACGAGCGGCAACATCGTTGACGTGCGAGGGGTCGCACGCGATGCGCGTCACATTAAGGTGTCGCTCTTACTTTCCCCGTTTGTCCAACGCCAGTGAGTAATTAGAAAGCAGATCGATTTCGGAACCCGCAGACCGCAGAGCGACACGAACCGTTCAAAATTAGATTGATTAAATTTTGTCGTCTAGTTTGCCCACTCGGAGGGCACGTTGGCAAATGTCGACGTTCTTCCTAGATAGCAAAACTTACCCTTCTTTCATAGCCATGCTAGCACCCAAAATAAAGATGAATTTTATGGAAAACGATAGATTAATGAACATCAAGGAAGATAATGAAATAGTTATTATGGGAGATCTAAATGCACGTACAGGCAGCAAGGAGGGCGATAGTAGATGGTAGATATGGTGAACAAGTAACTAATTCCAATGGACAACGCTTAATTGACCTTTGCCAGGGAATGTCGTTGAAGATTATGAATGGCTTCTTTCCTCATAAAAACATCCACAGGTTCACATGGACACAACCTACTAGAGGGCTTTTCTCAATAACTGATTACATAATTATGAAACAAAAATCTAGAATAAATAACCTGGACGTAAGAGTATATCGGGGTTTCGGGGTTTGGAATGCGGCTCAGATCATCACTTAGTAGTAACAAGACTAGTAGCAAATTACAGAAGAAAAATCAACATAAAAAGTGAGGATGAAGGAAAAAAATAATAACACACAAGTTGAAGGAAGATATAAGTTAGACAGTTTCGAGATGAACCTACATAATTTTTATACAAACTAAGGTTAGCGAACAAACTATAACGAGTAAGTAGGGAACTGACAGCGAGAGAACTATACAACGACATAAAAAGGCACGAGGCAGCAGAAGAAGCCTTGGGCTGCAAAAGGAAAAAGCAGAACAACCCAGAATGGTGGTCAAAACAAGTGGAGGATGTAATTAAAGAGAAGAAGAAGGCATATCACCACTGTCTAAATACTAAAATGGATGAAAATAGAGAAATATATGCAGAATTAAATAAAGACGCAAAAAGACTAGTCGAAAGAAGTAAAAATGAACGTTGGGAAAAGACATGCGAAGAAGTAGGTAGATTCATAGGCGGCACAAGAGTATCGGAAGCATGGAAATTAATAAAAAATCCAAAAAAAAGTACAAATCAAACTAGTAAATTAAACCTAATTGGGGTAGAAACATGGCGCAAGTATTATAAAACGCTACTAACTGAAAATAGGACAGAATTCCAAATGGACGATATAGACATAAACATAGACGATCATGTACATAAAATCACAATAACTGAAATTAAAAGAGCCCCGGAGATCAAATACCCGACGACTGGAATTTAGGATATATTAGTTCTATATAAAAAAAAAGGAGATAAAAAGTTGTGTAATAATTACAGAGGCATAACGGTTATTAGCTCAATGGGGAGGTTGTACGGTCGAATACTTAAAAGAACAATAGAAGACAACTTCCAAGAAATAGAAGAGCAAAGCGGTTTTCGAACAGGAAGATCCTGAATAGATAATATATTTTCTTGCGACAAGTAATGGAAAAACGTACAGCCCACAACATTTATAGATATTGAAAACGCATACGACACGGTACCCTTGAAGAAAATGTTTGAAGTATTAATGACAACCGGACTCAACAATGTATATATGAGAGCCATTTGGAACCTATATAAAGATGCGACGGGTGTAATCAAGATGGGAGGACATAGATCGAACCGTTTTTCAATGAACAAAGGATTAAAACAAGGCTGTAGCATGTCCCCTACTCTATTCAAAATATATATCGCTTAGTTGGCTCTCTATGTCCCAGACCATTGAAATGTCTAACATTGTATTGATTTTCAAGATTCAACAACAATTGCTACCCCCATACTTACAGGAATATTTAATTCCAAGGTGCATGAAACATGCTTATAATATAAGATCTAAAAACAACTTCGATATTCAGTTAACCAGAACAACACATATGCAAAAATGATGGCCTGAGACTATTCAATGCGCAAAACTAACCCAACATGCAGATTTTTCTAAAAAAATTGGAAAACATGTGTCTGAACTTGAGCTAGATGTATACTACAAATTTTACATTCTTTGTCGTTCTGTGAATGTATAGTTAAGTAGTTAAGTATTATTATTATTATTGTTATCATTATCATTTTTATTATTATTATTATTATTATTATTATTATTATTATTATTATTATTATTATTATTATTTGTTAAATTTACTATTAATACTTATATTTTTATGTACATTTGTTTAAAATTTGTTGATGTTTAGTAGCACATTCTGCTAATAATAAACTACTTTCAATTCAATTCAATTCAATATATTCAGAAAGCCCTAAGAGAATAGAGGAAAAAAATAGCAAATATGGAGGTAGATTTAGATGATAAATATTTGACGAGCCTCTTTTTCGCAGACGATCAAGTGATTATAGCTTGTGATGAAGACGCCGCAGATTACATGCTGAGAAAACTGAAAGAACACTATGAGAATTGGGGACTTAATATGAATATGCAGAAGACTGAATATATGAAAGTAGGAGGAAAACACGAAGACGAAAATCCTGAAATACATATTAGAAAAATAAAAAGAGCTACAAAAGTACTTGGGAAGCGTCATAACGGAAGAAGGTAATTCAAAAACAGACATTCAAAACGTAGCTCAGGAAAGAAGACCAACTCAAACGCTTAATTCCTTGTTGTATTCCGACGATATTAAAACATGTATGAAAATTAGAATATATGAAGCAGTTGTGGAACCCATCTCAACGTACGGCGCAGAATGCTGGCAAATGGCGAAGAACGACAAGAAAGTTATCGACACAGTAGAAATGGATTTCTTGAGAAGAACATGTGTCGAAAGTAGAACACGTCAGGAATAAAGAAATACGAAGAAGAACAGGGAGAATACATACCAGCACTGACCGAATAGAAACTAGACAACTTATATGGTATGGGCACGTACAGAGAATGAACGCTGAGAGATGACCAAAAAGAGCACTAAAATATACCCCCAAAAACAGAAGGAAGAAAGGAAGACCTATGACCTCATGGTACGATGGCATAAGAAATATAATGAAGGACAGAGCGATTAAAGAAGATGAGTGGAGGAATAAAGATAAATGGCAGTCGAAATGTGGGATGCGGCAGAAGCTGTAGGAACCCCACTGTATATTACGAAAAAG